GCCTGTGACTGTGGTGTGACTGTGCTCGCCTGTGAATGTGGTATGACCTTGCCCGCCTGTTTCTGACTGTGGTGTGACTGTGCCCGCCTGTTTCTGACTGTGGTGTGACTGTGCTCGCCTGTGACTGTGGTGTGACTGTGCTCGCCTGTTTCTGACTGTGGTGTGACTGTGCCCGCCTGTGTCTGACTGTGGTGTGACTGTGCTCACCTGTGGCTGTGGTGTGACTGTGCTCGCCTGTGGCTGACTGTGGTGTGACTGTGCTCGCCTGTGACTGTGGTGTGACTGTGCTCACCTGTGACTGTGGTGTGACTGTGCTCCCCTGTGACTGTGGTGTGACCGTTCTCACCTGTGGCTGACTGTGGTGTGACCATGCTCGCCTGTGGCTGACTGTGCTGTGACTATGCTCACCTGTGACTGTCGTGTGACTGTGCTCGCCTGTGACTGTGGTGTGACTGTGCTCGCCTGTTGCTGACTGTGGTGTGACCCACGCTCACCTGCAGTCGGGGGTCGATGGTGAAGGACCCTGCAGTGGGATTCATGCAAGCCACGTACTGACAGTTATGGACGTCCTTCAGCGTCAACTTCTGCCTGTCATACCTGCAGGAGGCATGGGGGGACACTGGGCTGGAGGGAGGGCAGTGTGAACACTGACTGGCTGGAGGGAGGACAGTGTGAACACTGACTGCTGGAGGGAGGACAGTGTGAGCACTGACTGGCTGGAGGGAGGGCAGTGTGAACACTGACTGGCTGGAGGGAGGGCAGTGTGAACACTGACTGCTGGAGGGAGGGCAGTGTGAACACTGACTGGCTGGAGGGAGGGAGAGCAGTGTGAACACTGACTGGCTGGAGGGAGGACAGTGTGAACACTGACTGGCTGGAGGGAGGACAGCGTGAACACTGACTGGCTGGCTGAAGGGAGGACAGCGTGAACACTGACTGGCTGGAGGGAGGGCAGTGTGAACACTGACTGCTGGAGGGAGGACAGTGTGAACACTGGCTGGCTGGAGGGAGGACAGCGTGAACACTGACTGACTGGCTGGAGGGAGGGCAGTGTGAACACTGACTGGCTGGAGGGAGGGCAGTGTGAACACTGACTGGCTGGAGGAAGGACAGTGTGAACACTGACTGCTGGAGGGAGGGCAGTGTGAACACTGACTGCTGGAGGGAGGACAGTGTGAGCACTGACTGGCTGGAGGGAGGGCAGTGCGAACACTGACTGGCTGGAGGGAGGACAGTGTGAACACTGACTCCTGGAGGGAGGACAGTGTGAACACTGAATGCTGGTGGAGGGAGGACAGTGTGAACACTGACTGCTGGAGGGAGGGCAGTGTGAACACTGACTGCTGGAGGGAGGACAGTGTGAACACTGACTGGCTGGAGGGAGGGCAGTGTGAACACTGACTGGCTGGAGGGAGG